AGACCACGACACCGGTCAGAGCGCCCCTAGACCCCGACACCGGTCAGAGCGCCTACAGACCCCGACACCGGTCAGAGCGCCCCTAGACCCCGACACCGGTCAGAGCGCCTACAGACCCCGACACCGGTCAGAGTGGCAGCAGTTTGCTTAAACCCTGAAGCTTCTGTCGTGAATGAAGAACGAGTGAGTGTGTGGGGGGTAGGTTAGGTAACCAGGATAAATGAGTAATAGCGGAAGGTCGGGGCCAGACGAGCAGCATCCCGGCTCGCTGTCGCCAGCGGCACTCCTTCCCCTCCCGCTCGGCCGCGTGGATCTCGGAAGCGGAGCGACCTCTCCGTGAGACCTCTCCTCCTACATCTGCGCTATTCTCCGCTCCACCTACCATGCTTTTGCTGTTTTTTCCCCTGTAACGTGGCATTTATCGGCTGGAAATAGCGCTGCTAAATGGCCCCTGCGCTGATGTTGCATAAGGCGGCCTACATTAATGCAGGCCCCTGGGAACATCAGCCTGCTGGGGGGGAGGGATAACTGAACCCCCTATGTGCGCTTACCCACTTGTTTACTTAGTTTATTTATTGCATTTTTGTTTTTTGTTTTTTTGCTAATGACAGCAGCTATTCGGGAATATAAAGACAGATTTAACGAAGCAGGTCAGGGGAGCCCTGATTTAAAGGTTCAGCGGCCACGGCATCCAGAACGTGCAGCTCACAGGTCAGCTTCCTCCTCCGCGATACCCTGCCCCCCCGCCATCACCCACTGCTTTTTGGGGCCAGCTGGAAAACAGCAGGTGCACAATAAGGTAACTCGGTATGCAGAGGATGGGGCTGAGTAATATACCTACACTTCTGTGTATAAATCATGGACTAGCACTCCTGAGTATGAATAATATACTCATGGCCATAAGTATGTATAATATACTTCTGCCCCCGAGTATGAATAACATACTCCCTTCCCTGAGTAAGAATAATATACTCACGTCCCACGAATATGAAATATATACTCGTATCCCTGAGTATGAATTGTATGAATCGCCTTCACATTCACCCGTTTGACATTCACAGTTTTGGTTATTCGCAAGCACGAGCTGTGAACAATTAAATGGGAATATTTTTGGAGCTTGCTGAAGGATAGCAGAAACCCACTGATGACATGTATGCCAAAAATAATACTGAAAATGATTTGGATCACATAAAGTCATATATAAATATTAGTAATACATAATACTTGTTAGTGTAAGTGTGTACCATATCTTTCAGATTTAAGTCTTGGCTTGGGTACGCTGCGCAACTTTGTCCCAGCAGCCAGCCAAACTCACGAGTTATCTGTCTTTGTGACCTTGGAGTCTCATGTTTCTCACAGTAACTTTTTAACTTCTAACTGCTGTTAATTTTGAATTTTTAATAATTAGTCCGAAGTGTTCCCAGTGTTTAAAGTAGTAACTTTGTACATACAGGAGGATATTGTAGATGGTTTGTATATTATATAGAAAGGTCTTTATAGGAAATGACAAAGTGTACAGTACAGTACTGTTTGTTTAGAAATTGGTAATAAATTCACATATTCTTACAATTCAGGCTAGCCCACTGTTATGGGTAGAGGTTAGAGGTACACAGTTATTATTCACAAATTGTCACATTTGTGGGGATCTGCCGCCCTTAACCCCCACAAACATATACTTGTGCCCCAGAATATGAAAAATATCCTCACACCCTTGAGATTTCAGTGCAGCCATCGAGCCTGTTTTCTTCTTGTTGAGCAACATTGGCGTGGCCTTCAGTCGGCGCCCCCCTCTGGCAGGGCACCGGCGGGGCATCTCGGGCTAGGACCTGCCCAGCAGCTTTCAGGGCACCATGCGGGTACCCGAGGCCAGTTTAGGGTGAGGCGGAGGGTCACTAGAAAAAACAAAGGCTTTTTGTGTGGGGGCCCTAGAAAGAAGAAGCCCGCCTCTACTGGCCCCCACCTCAGCCTGAATTTCAGACATTACCACGCCGCTACTTCGCGCCTGTCCTCACCCAAGAAGCGAGCAAACTGCCCTCCGCCATCTCATCTATCCACTACACCTGGTGGTTTGAAGATCTGATGCATTAATGGACCGACTCTCTCCCTCCCCCGTAAACATCACCTTCATCGGGCTGCTGCTGACGCCACCAACGTCTCTGGTTCGAGCCCAGGGGTGGCGGCCTCTCTGCCTCTCTTACGACACGCCATATGGTCGTTGAGCATATGCCAGGCGAATCACCCCATCTGCATTTACGCATCGTTCCGGCTTTTTCCGTCGCCAGCAACCACAGCCTAATGCATTATTCATTAGCGGTGGCAGTGGTGGAGTGTCACTGCACTGCTGGGCACACCACAGGTTTTTTTTGCTGTGTTTTGTTTTGTTTGTTTTGTTTTGTTTTGTTTTTCACTCATTAGTATGCTAACTTCAAGAGTGTTGTTGTTATGTTTTTTTCTCCACCTGGGCGGGTACTTCATTCTCCCGCGTCTCGCTGAGGTCTTCGCAGCTCTTCGTTACAAACCGTTTACCCAGAAGTATCAGCGTGTCGGTATGGAAACACCAGGCTGCTCAGGCCCTGGGACACACAGCTCGGTGTTCAATGTCAGACATGAGTTTGGACAAGGGTCCTGATTGAAGCTCTGCTTCCCTCGTCACCCTCGTGTGCAGAAATCCGAGACAAGTTTGGGAAGAACCGTCTGTGTGAGTCAGCGGGTTAGGATGCCTTGCTTGTGATCAGAAGGTCACCGGTTCAGATCCCAGGGTCAGCAAAGTGACTTCACTGCTGGGTCCTTGGGCAAGGCCCTTAAAATCCAGTTGCTCCAGGGACTGGCTGATCCTGCTTTCTCAAGAACATGCATGGCTTTGGTCAAAAGCATCTGCTAAATAACTGAAATGTAATGTAAATGTAAAAGACATCCATCGAAGACCAAACAGCGTTGTGTATCAGTCAGCAGATTCACACTGGCCCTATGTGGACACCCCCGTCACTCAGGCATTGTGGGAGTCCGATGTCAGACCTGCGTGTGGACGGCACTCAGCAGCAGTGGAACGGGCCCCCACCCCCCCCAGCCCCATCACATCGTGTGCACGATCCCTTGATTATTGATGGGCATGTCATGGTCAATGACCCTTTTTCTCCCCCTTTTCCATTCAGGCCTCCTCGGTCAGCCCCCCCCCCCCCCCCAACCCCCAGAGGCTCACCTGCACTGGGCTTAAAGATTCCAAAACAAAATGAGAGAATATGACCATAAAGGACTGGAGTCATGGTTGAATTGGTTGTTGTTAGCACAGATTGGCAGTGTGTATTAGGCGTGTATGTTTATGTCCATGTCCATCTACAAGACAGACTTTGCAGTCTGCTCACATTCATTGACGCTTTGATGCATTTGTGCCTCTCTGCAGATGGGGACGGCTCGCAGGACCACCTGCTGCCAGTGTGTCATGACGCAGAATGCAAGAAAAGCACCATCTACCTCTCTAAGCCTGGGGACCATCAGGTGAGTCGGCATGACCTCACAGGGGAGTGCTGGCTTATTGGGGTTAAAGGTCATGGGGGAGTTCAGAGGTCATCTGCGGTCATGGGTGTGGCAGACATACGTGAATGTGTGATTTCCCCTGAGCCACATCAGCCTGCATGTAGACTTTTTGGCCACTTTGAAATGCTGGAGAAAGCACCCCTGCCTTTGGGGGGGGGGGGAGCAATAGCAAAGGGGCAGGCCAGGTGTAGGGCCGTGTGAGTGGCTGGCTCCAGCTAGTTCTGGATCATTCCTTCTGCAGGCCATGTGCCAGAGTGTCTGGGTTTCCAAGAGTGAGATAAAATCAGACTGAAGAGTCACATGGTATGTGGTGAGGAGAGGGACTTCTCCTCGCTTCTCCTCACTTCTCCTCGCTTTTCCTCACTTCTCCTCGCTTCTCCCCACTTCTCCTCGCTTCTCCTCACTTCTCCTCACTTCTCCTCGCTTCTCCTCGCCATTCCGCGCCTCCAGGCGCCTCTGTTCAGATCCACTTGCCCGCTTTTTAATCAGGCCCCCAGAGCCAATTAGCAGAAGCCGAAAGCATTTGTCTTTGAGCTTGTTGACCGCGGCTAATGGCTCCCACTCAGACCCCGTAACGTCAGCGAGATGGAGAGATCTGGCCGGTCATCTCCAGCAGCTGTCCCTGATGGTGATTACATTTAGCTTGAAGTCAGGGCTTCTGCGATGATTGAGGACCTCAATCCCCTGTGAGCTGGTCCAGTACACGGGGGCGTCTTTGCGAGATGTCTTTACGTTACTCGGACCGACCCCTACACAGACCTAAGCAGTCCCTGACATGTGGGGGAGGCACCCCCCCCCTTACACTGCCCAATTTCATCCAGTGACAAAAGTAAACATTGTCGACCAGCAAGTGGCGGGCGTGGGGGGGCGGGGAACAACGGTAACCAGGTGTGGTGATGGTAAATCTTGTCAACTGCGTAGGGGTGTAAACTGTGTAGTAAAAGTATTGACTGTGGGGGGGAGGAGGTTGTTGAGGTCTGAGCTGGCCGAGTTGATGTCTTGGGGCGTCCCAAAATCCCGGGGAGGCAGAGGTGGTGCTGCATCTTATTTCACATTCATTTCCTTTCTGTCAGCTGCAGAGTCGCATCCCTGTCTTGGCCTTGACTTGATAATATCCGCTGCTCTTTTTGGTCTTCTCTTCAAAAGGCACGCAATGGATGCTTTCTCCCCTCCCCGTCTTCATGCCCCCGACCCCCCCCCCCCCCCGACCCCAATCACCCCATGTCAGGGTCCAGTTAGTAATTTTTCACTTCCAGCTTTAAAATCCGTCCTTCTCCAAATCTAAATATTTTGAGGGGATACCTCAGTACCTCATGGGGAGTCCCGGGTCGCCATGGGTGATGTGAGTGTGTGTGTGTGTGTGTGTGTGTGTGTGTGTGTGTGTGCCCCCGCATGTGTGCACGTATGTTCGCGTGTCAGATACCGAGGCCTGCGGACAGCAGATGGCGTCATCCCGGGGAAGGTCAGGACAGCTCGAACCACAGACACGGGATGGAATTGGAGGTTATCTCCAAGGTGACGTCTAGACGCAGTGATGCGTGAGTCATCGTCACATCATCCAGTTACCCTGTTTGCCCGTGAGGGTATGACAGGCCATGGGGGCGGGGCAGGGGTAGCAGTGGGGGCTGATGGAACGGGCAGCAGTGGGGGCAGCACGTTACCAGTTACCTCCCTCCTGAACCCAGGCCAAAGGGGTAGGGGGCTTTGGCAGGGTCCCGCCATTGCCGATTCGCCCGTTTGTCGAGCCCTGGTCCATCCTGTCAGCGCCGGTGGGGGTCACATTAGCGCCGGAGCACGTCGGCACAGTGATGGCGCCGATGTTCATTTGGCAGGACGGGAGGAGCTGTCAGAACGCAGCACGGCAGGGCCGAAGGGTTAGCACGTCGCACGGAGTTACCAGCACGTGCCTGGGATCACAGATGTGTTCACTCTGGTGTGTGTGTCTGTGTGTGTGTGTGGGGGTGTGTGTGTGTATATATATGTATGTGAATGTATGTGATAAAAACCTGTTATTTTGACCTTGTGGGGACATTTTTTCAGTCCCCACAAGGGGACCTCAATTTCATAAAAATCGGTGACTGCAATCAAAAAACAAAAGACTTGTATTTCGTTTGGTTAGGATATTGTATTTTGTTTGGTTACTTATGGTTAGGGTTAGGGTTAGGGTTACGGCTGGGTAGGGCTTACAGTTGTCATAGCTGCGGTTAGGGTTATGCCCGTAAAAATGAACAATGATATACATACCTAATCTGTGTGTGTGTGTGCATGTGTATCTGTGTGTGTGTGTGTGTGGTTCTGTGTGTGTGTGTGTGTGGTTCTATGTGTGTGCAGTTACCTGGTAATGTGTTTTCCTCTATTGTTCTGTTCCTGTACATGATGTTGTCCTGCATTTCTGTGTGCCTGTTTACTCATAGTTTTATGCCTCTGTGAGCCTTTTTCCCTTGTTTGTGTTTCTGTTCCTGTATGCGATATTGTCCTGCATTTCTGTCTGCCTGTTTACTCATGGTTTTATGTCTCTGAGCCTTTTCCCCCTATATGTATGTTCCTGTATGCGATATTGTCCTGCATTTCTGTCTGTCTGTTTACTCTTGGTTTTATGTCTCCGTGAGCCTTTTCCCCCTCTGTGTGTTTGTGTTCCTCTACGTGATGCTGTCCTGCATTTCTCTGTGCCTGTTTACTCGTGGTTTTACGGCCCTGTGTATGTACATGCCTCTGTTTGTGTTTTTCTCTGTAAGTACATTTCCCACACCCAGGCCTGTCCTTGTGTGATCCTTCACTGTGACGCCAGGTTGGTTATTCTCAGATCTCCCTTGTTTCCACTGTCATTCCTGTAATATTAACGAAGAGAACTCAGCCATAGTTCAGCTCCGGTGCACCGTGTCAGCATTAATAAAAGATCTGTTTTAAAGTAGTGCTTTTTAAATGATTTAGTCATTCGTTAGCCTCGTGGCAGGCTCAGCTGTCTCTGACACCCCAGACTCCCCTCGCAAAGGCTCGAGATCAGCATGTGCCCCCCTTATTAGTGCCCCTAGCAGGCCAAACGGCTTTTTTACACAATAAGAAACTTCTGGGTGTCGAACAGGCCAGGGCAGTGGGGTTGTTGATTGGAAGGCTGACAGTGTTGCTTCGTTTTTGTTGGACCTATGGCCCAAATTAGACAAAGGAACTATAGACAGTAACAAACCCAAGGCTAATCTGCTGTAGAGCCAAGAAGAAAATGGCATTTGTAATTGAAAACATCCGTCTATTCCTTCAGTTCTCCATCTGTCCGTCCATCCATCCATCGTTCTTATAACTGCTTATCCTGTTCAAGGTTGGGGAACCCTACAATGGCAACGTTGCGTGGGTAAATTTCACTGGGGAGATTAGCATAGTCGCTAAATGGCCACTCCCCACGCTGGGCATGGCGCCCTCAGAGAGGGGCTGATGTAAGGCCCCCCCTGTGCAGCCTGTCAGCACCCATGATTTAAATCTCCCTGCCTAATGATCCACACTTCACGTCACGTCAACAGCGGCAGGATCTGCTTACGCCGTTTTCCTGATGATTTAATAAACGATTGGTTAAAGAGGGTATCCTTATGGGATGGGGGGGGGGGGGGTCTTCGGGGATTGATAAATCTCATTTGCATTGCTGCTGCTCCCCCCCCCCTCTGGAGATCCCACTCTGCCTTGGCAATGGGAAAATGGGAAGCTTGGGAAGTACGATTAGCAGAGTCTGTATGTGATGGGGCATAGCCTGACTCTCATGGGTCTCGCATGTTCAGACTGAAGGGGGCGCCACAAACGCTGCCCCCTGTCCGTCCCCCTTCCGCTGACCCCTCTCTTTATCACCCACGGCAGCACGTCCCAGACACCTGGCTCAGCCTACGTTCTTCCGTGGATGTGTCAGCATCTCTCCTCCAGTCCATCTGCAGCAGTTTCACCATGACGACGTACACTGACCCACCGTGACACATTCACCCACTCTCCTGTCTGCTCTGCCCCACACATTTCTCATTCACACATACTCTATGCACACCCGCATGTGTTCCTGGATATCTGCCCCCCCTCCTGTCCTAGCCCCCTCTGACCTCCGAGCGGCCCTTCCCATCACAGAAACAGCATCCCAGCCAGCTGAACCACACACCACCTCCGTTTGGGGCTTGTGAGATCGCTGTCCCAACTACCCGGACTCCTCTGCGCCTCTTTCTCAGACTATCAATCCGATCGCATGGGTGACAGTAATGCTGTGCGCTGAACCAGGTGACTTTGCTGTGGAAAGGGGCACCTGACGATGCAGATCACGTCCTGAATGATCACAAAAAATGATGACAAAGTCATGTGATGTGTGTCAACAAAGCCCTGGATGGGCAGTGCCTTGTGGGTTCCTGCCCTCAATAGACTCCAAACCCACCTCAATGCATGATGGATGGATGGATGGATGGAGTACCATCTTATTTGTGACAGATTGTGAATGGTTAGGCTCAGCCTCCTAATCAAATAAAATCTTTTAATATCGAAATACTATTGTTTTCCAGGTAAATAATCAATAGCGTTTAGTCGTGGTTAATTACTCAGTCGCTCATTACTCTTAATGAAATTCGATCCTGTATCCTTTTGTGGTCTCCCCCGTAATTTATCAGCAACAAACTGCCGGACATTTGTCTCAGGGACTGGTTGGCTCACATCGATTTGCTGGGCAGTCGGGAGACTTTGCGTTTGTGGATGCATGGAGAATAAGTTTTCATGATTAGTCTTCCTATTCTGCTGCTGAGTTTAATCCGCGATGATCAGCCTGGCTTTCTGCCCCCCCCCCCCCCCCCCCCCCCCCCCTCTCTCTCTCTCTCTCTCTCTCTCTTTCTCTATCTATCTCTCTCTATCTATCTATCTGTCTCTCTCTCTCTCTCCCCCCTCATTCACTCATTGCCTCTCTCCAAAGCCTGTTGGGATGTTAATGGCGGCCATGCTGTCTGGAGTGAGGATCTGACTCGCGTGTGTCACCCTGTCACTTTGATCCCCCACCCCCCCCAAAAAAAGGATTATAAATAGTTAATAATAAAGGAATCAGTGTCACGCTTCTGTGAATGTAGACAGGGAATTTCCACCCGGGATCAGCCATGAGTGAGAAGCCGTTTTTACACGGTGTGGAAACGGGATTGGGAGTTGGCGTCGGAGCGTGGAGGTCTGCCAGAGGCCGGCTTGAGAAGCTGCCTGTCTTCGGCGCGTTAGCGTGGCAGCCGCGGGGTGACGATCCGGTCAGCGCTGGCTTTGGCGATTCTACATCCTCCTCTCGACGGATCCGTCTCCGGATTCCCGTCATGATTCTAAGTGCGGTTTCTCCACGGAATAATGTATTTAAATCAGGAAAGGAATTTGTTACCCAGTCCTGTTACATTTCCCAAATCTCAACTTTTGCGCAGACTTCATTCGTTTTTTTAATTAGGACACTTGTTCCAGTGCTTCTTTATTGTGAGTGGGAGTTTTATTTAATTCACCTGCCAGTATTTTCAGGTCATGTGCTGTCAGGACGCCTTGTTCGACACTTAAATTAAGGATGCTGTGTTGATGTTATACTTCCGTACATCTTACCGCTAACGTTTCTGTCAGGTTAATTACAGTAATAAAGGGTTTTAAGAGGGGGCGTCGATCGGGCTCCTCTGCGCACGCATCTGTCTCTGTCTCGCTCTGCTCTCTCCTTATCTCGCCATCTCGTTTATCTTCATTCCCAGCCTGGCAAAGGTGACAGGCAGCGATCAGGGTGTGCGGCGGATCGGGCTCGGCGCTCCCCGCTTACGCGTTAATCGCGCTGGGGGGGGGGACGTGCTGTCCAGCTCCCGATCTCGGGATCGCCGGCCGTCTCTCTCTCCTCATCTTATTAGAGGGCCTGCGGGTCCCTCACCTACACTGGCATGATTCACGATGTGCCTTTAATCTCTGTCAAGCGATTCCCAGCGCGTTGAAAGATTTAATTATCGCGTCCTACGTCTCATTTTCCCCATAACAACACGGCACGCTTCGGCTCTATTGCTTGGGAGATGCTGTGGGTATCGTCCTCCCCTTGGATCTTCTTTATCCTATTTACCGCAGGTCAACGCTGCAAACTGACAACAAAATTACGTGGCGGTTACGTGAAATTAATGCCGCTGCATTACATAAGTTATATCGAATTGTTTCACTGTCCGTTCATCCATTTGCTGTTCTGTTTATCCAGCTGAGCATTTCAGTACCGCGATTAGATGTTCTTCTATATTTTTTTCTTTTGCCATGGGCTGTTTCACAGCTAACAGTGTTACACCTGCTCATGTACACAGTTTGATGTTCAGCAGTACAGCACAGTTTCTGTGTGGTGTAATGTGACAGATCCAGCTATCTTTAACCGTGGTAATATACCACTCCATTGTTCTGAGTATTTAAACTTTATTAATCTATTTATTTATTTGTTTATGACTATAACAATGGTCATAATAGCCAGAGTAATTCCAGTGCCTTTTGAAACGACGCCATTTTAGCAGAATTTTCAACAAGAATGAAACAATGTAAAATTTGTACTGTAAAATTGGTCAAGTTTTGTACTGAAAACTGAACAAGCAAATTCAGCCAAGTGTCTTAAGTGTGAAACATAACGATCGTCCCAGTTTTGTGTCTGTTGTTGCGATTCATGTGTAAGCACAGAGGCGACCAGAAGCTGCTAATCAAGGGGAAGTGCGTTCCCTGATCCCACGCGTGGGTCTAATGCCCGGTCCCACCTCCCCTACATGCCTTACCCTCCTCATTCCTGAGCAGATGCCGCGTTACCCCAAGCACCTTGCGAATGCTATGGGGGGGGGGGGGGGGGGGGGGGGGGGCGATCAGCTCTCGGACGTTTCCTTGTTCTGCTAATCCAGAAAAGAAAGAAAGATCCTTTGCTCCTTTCCGCGATGCTGAGGTCAGGCCACGCGAATGTTTCTGTCTCTGAGTGAGGGGTGCAGAGGCTTGTCATATTGATTAAACGCCATCAGCACCTTCCTCATAGAACACGATGGAGGGAATGGGGTCAAATCCCTGTTCACCAGAGTGGGGGCGGGGGGGTTCGG